CTACATGCCTAAATGCATTAAGTTGCTGCCTTGTGATTAGGAATGTGCGTTAACAAGAAGTTAGACCGGTGTACGTAAAAAAGTGGCCGCTGAATGCATATCATCTGTTTAAGGAAAAAAAAATATCATCCTATCAAAATGTTTAGTCTGAACATTACATTAGGATGACCAACCTGCTTGTCAAGATATGGACTTGCATACTTCTGCATACTTATTTGCATACTGCATACATACAGTATTGTGTCCTCTACTGTTGAGAACTGAGAAGAGGTGTAAGATGACATTTATGCCCATAAATAATAGCTAATATCTCTATGGAAACTAATAATATGATTCCCAATGGGTGGGTTGGGGGTGTCACTGATTCCCCTGCTGCTGTTGGCACCCTAGCTGACTGTCTAGCTCATATAGAAGCTGTACTGTCTTTGTCACCAACTCTACTTTAATGAAAATGTTGACATACTACCAGGCGCATACTGTTTCTTTACAAAAGGGCATTGCCACTTGTTAGCTTGGCATGCATAATACAACATGTTAAGTCATTTTCACAGATCTATGTAAACACTATTCATTGTTTACGGTGTGTAAAACTTTTCACAAATGCAAAGAATAAAACTTATTTGGTTTGGTTTAAGAACTTTGTTGTTGTGCAAATCCCAATCTAAATTAAAATCCAATTTAATTTTTAACAAATTCACCCACGTGTCGTTACTAATTTAGGCTTGACTATTTTCAAAACAGTACTTTAGTATTTCTATGGCTTGACAGTCCAAATTCTCATTAGATAATGTTACACTGAAAACCATAATAAAAACCTTAAATAAAAGTGTTCTAATTGAAGTGATATAGGCTTAGAATGACATTGGAGTAAATAAATAAATTTGGCTATTCATATTATCATAAGAACATACACTCACTGGCCACTTTATTAGGTACACCCGTCCAACTGCTCGTTGACAAATGTCTAATCAGCAAATTACATTGCAGCAACTCAGGTTCAAGCTGTCTGAAAGGCAACAGTGCTCAATTATCCACTCATTACAACTGAGGAATGCAGAAAAGCATCTCTGAACGCACAACACATTTAACCTTGAGGCGGATGGGCTACAGCGGCAGAAGACACACTGGGTGTCACTCCTGTCAGCTAACAACAAGAAACTGAGGCTACAATTCGCACAGGCTCACCAAAATTGTACAATAGAAGATTGAAAAAACGTTGCCTGGTCTGATAAGCCTTGATTTCTGACACTCAGATGGTAGGGTCAGGATTTGGCATCAACAACATGAAAGCATGGATCCATACTGCCTTGTATCAATGGTTTAGGCTGCTGGTGGTGGTGTAATTGTTTGAGGATATTTTCTTGCCACACTTTGGCCCATTAGAACCATTTGAGCATCATGTCAACACCACAGCCTACCTGAGTATTGTTGCTGATCATGTCCATCCTTGTATGACCACAGTGTATTCATCTTCTGATGGCTACTTAAAGCAGGATAACACACCATGTCATAAAGCGCAAATCATCTCAGACTGGTTTCTTGAACTCACTGTACACTGTACTTAAATGACCTCCACAGTTACCAGATCTCAATCCAATAGAGCACATTTGGAATGGGGTGGAAGTATCCATGATGTGGAGATTCACATCATGGATATACAGCCGACAAATCTACAGTAACCGCGTGACATGCTATCATGTCATAATGGAGCAAAATCTCTGAGGAATATTTCCAGTACTTATTGAATTGATGCTACAAAGGGTTAAGGCAGTTCTGAAGGCAAAAGTGGGTCCAAGCTAAGGTGTACCTAAAAAAAGTGGACAGTATGTTGATGATATGACTTTAATAATTGCAAAACCAAATTATTATATACACATTTTATGATTTTTGGTCTTTAAAATGTACCATAAAATGTGCAATAAAGTGAGGCTTCAGTCTAATGTATAAGGTGTCAAAAGTGATTAATTGATTTTACATAAAAAAGTGAGTAAACACAATGCCTTAAAATTAATTATTAGTTATAAGGTGAAGAAACTATCTGCATAATTATAAAAAAAAAAAAAATTTCACTTTAAAAAATGCGGGGTTTAACACAACTGATTTGTGTTGGGACAACATGAAGGAATTAAGTTAACTTAATAGTTTTTACAAAGTTGTTGCAAAAAAAACCTTAAGAATTAATTTAAATCAGCTCATTTCAAATAAGTAGTTTGAACAAACAGGAAACATAATTTTCAAGTACTTTGTAGACTTAAACGTAGATTATTTTGTTTTTTTAAAAAAAATAATAATAAAAACAAGTATTTTCTACAAGTTTGTTTTTGTTAGTGCTGGTACCAAACTGGAAGGAGAGGACGTACAGTGAGTAAAAGAAAGAGGAGTCTGAACTGATGAGCACTCTGTACATGCTGTACAACAGCAGCCACCATATTCTCCTTCACTGTTTCCAGGGTCTAGATCCTGTAAAACCAATGCGGTGGTATATTTACTATCCCTCTGATACTTTCTGGTTTCCTTTGTGTTGTTTCCTCTGAGCATTAGCCGAAAATAGTTTCTGCAAGTTCAGCAGACTCACAGACTGTGTAAGACCTCCTGTCCTCGACGCTTTGTCAACCACAACATCTCTCGCCAAAGACCCTGACCTTCAGTTCCAGTTTTTATCAGAGTTTAGCCGCATACAAAGTTTTCACAGAAGTTCCTCTTTAAAGTCGATTACAGCTTGTTTGTGGATATCATGATGACTCATTTTGTAATCATGCAAAGATATTTAGTCACTTTAAAAGGACTCATAGACATATTCTCTGTGGAGAACAAAAGTTGTTATTTTTAAAGTTTTAAAGTATCTGACTTTCATCCACTGAAAAAAAAACAAAATTACTGGTTTGGAAAGATATGAGGGTGAGTGAAAATGACTGAATCAAGTCCAGTTTCCTTATGCCTCCTTCACATTGCTTGAGCAGAGCAATAAACATATGACAATAAATCCCGACTCAGACTAATGTTCAGACTGAAGGACTGAAATAAAGCAATCACTTTCTTTAAAATATACAATTAATTCTTGAATAATTTTAGCTCCTTTTTTCTAATCATGTCTAGGAAAATTTGTTCAAACAGTGTTTGAACTCTCAGTAATGATTAAATCACACTGAACTGAGCTAAACTGAACTGAACTGAACTTAAACACTAAAACCTGAACCACACTGTTCCAGTTACTATGACCATTTATGTGAAGCTGCTTTGACACAATCTACATTGTAAAAGCGCTATACAAATAAAGCTGAATTGAATTGAATTGAAAATTTGAAGTATCAAGCAAACAGTGTATAATACATTATTAAAATGGATTAAGCACAGACAAAAAGATTATTTCAAGCATCAAAACAATAAAAGTTTAAATTTCAACACATATTTTTTGTAAATTACTGCATAATTAGTCTTTTTATATTTTTTTATGTTTATTTACATTTTTGCATTTTATTTATTTATTTTTATTATATTATACATTTAACATCACAGAAAACACCCACTCAAATGTAATCCAGCATAATAATGTAATCTAGTTTATCAGAAAATCTTGTCAGGCATATCTGAAAAAAAAAAAAAAAAAAAAAAAACTTAATCACTCATTAAAAGACTCATTATAATGGTGTAGCAACTAATCATTTATTATTTTAGCATTATGAAAACAAGTTTTAAATACTACAATTGTTTTGTATGATGACATAGGATATAATATATATTAGACTATAGCCTATTACACAGCTGCACCTAAATTACATTGACTTTTTTTTAAAATAACCACTTCCCATGACTACAATATATGTATATATATATATATATATATATATATATATATATATATATATATATATATATATATATATATATATATATATATATATATATATATATTGTTGAAGTCAGAATTATTAGGCCCCCTTTTGAAATAAATTTTCTTTTTTAAATATTTCCCAAATAATGCTTAACAGGGCATGGACATTTTCACAGCATGTATGCTGTTTGTAATTTAAAAAAAAAAAGCATTTTAAGGTCAGAATTATTAGCCGCTTTAAGCTATATATTTTTTCAATAGTCTACAGAACAAACCATCATTATGCAATAACTTGCCTAATTACCATAACCTTATTATATATATATTACACCAACACACACATTTGAAGTCATTATTAGCCCCCCCTGTTTATTTTTTTCCCTAATTTCTGTTTAACGGAGAGATGTTTTCAACACATTTCTTAACATAATAGTTTTATTTGATCTTTGCTATGATGACAGTAAATAATATTTAGATATTTTCAAGACACTTCTATACAGCTTAAAGTGACATTTAAAGGCTTAACTAGGTTCATTAAGTTAACTAGGCAGGTTAGGGTAATTAGGCAAGTTATTGTATAACGATGGTTTGTTCTGTAGACTATCAGAAAAAAAAAGATTGCTTAAAGGGGCTAATAATTCTGATCTTAAAATGGTTTTTAAAAACTTAAAACTTTCCTTGCTCAGTTAAACATCATTTGGGAAATATTTAAAAAAGAAACAATAATAATAAAAAAAAAATCAAAACTGGAGTTGATAATTCTGACTTCAAATGTATATATAGTTTAATATCTAACTTTCCTTTTTTTTTAAACTTTCATATCATACCAATTGTTCACTAATATTCGAGAATAAGATTCATCCATGCAACGTGTTTCCACTTCTCAGATTCTTTCCTTTCCAATAAATAAATGAACTATGCACTGTTTATATTCCAGCTAGAACTAAAAAGCACTGAACTGGTTAACTTAAACGTCCGGGAAAACTCCAGGCAGTGATTAAATTTATGGTGAGGCGAAATGAAGTTTCGTAATCAGCCGAGTCGAGTAGCGCCACACATCACGTCAAAAGAGAAGAGAGGAGACGTGCGGAAAAGAGGCGTGGTCAGATGAAAACACACCCGCCCACTCCGCCAGGAAGACTGCGCAAGTTTTTATAAAGGATATGCGCGCAAGTTTTGGCAGGACAGAGGGGGCTCTCTGCGGGGCAGAACTATATCAAAGACCCTTCAAACACAGGAATACTCCCACCGTGCCTTAACAAACCATATGTTTGTCAACTTTGAAGAATTTTCAGCCAGCCCCGATTCGACAATGACTGCCGTTGTGTCCTCTTTCTTCGACTACGAAGTGACGAATAAGGTAATTTATCTTTTTCTGGAAATAGTTTAAAGAATTCCATCAGCTTGTATGAGCGAGTAAGAGATTAGTATCTACAAAAATGTCGCAGTGGTGCTTGAGATGCCGTTTTCAACACCGATGTCAAACTTTCCTGGCTTGAGTGTAGCCTATGTGTGTGTGTGTGTGTGTGTGTGTGTGTGTGTGTGAAGAGTAGGGCGAGTATCTTGCCCTTGCAACTTATCTAGCCGTCTGTCTCTCATGATCTGCAGTCATCGATTGGTAATCGACAAGGAAAGAAATAAGGCGATCTAAAAGATTAGTTTCAGCTGCGTTTATTCGTCACCATCACTTATTAGTTGCATCAAGCTGTGCATTACTTGCTCTCGTAGGGATTACACATAGCAGGAAAGGCCACACGTCTGCGCAGAGTTTGAATCAAAACAAGGAGTTCTCCATTATGGAAAGCAGTGGTTAGACTTCAGATGGATTTACATCTCATTCTTGACCTTTTTTTAACCACAGTGAACTTTACATGAATTTTGATTGATTTGTCGTCTGTGACTTTAATTGTGCTTCTTAAATAATCTACAGGTCAGCTCCGAACATATAAATGTGTATATGAACCAACCATGCATAACTCTATTGTGAACATGCAGCTTTATCCTGACGTTAAAACACATTAGTTTTTAGCAGAACGCTTGAAGGGGCGTTTACGCAGTTCTTTCATTCAAAACATCTGGGTAGTATTAAACCTAAATTAATGGTCTCAAAACAGGCGTTTAAAAGTCATACTCACATAAAACGTATTGTTAATCTAACTAAAAAAATAATAAAGGCATGACTCACCCATATACATCAGTAACAGTTAGATGTTAGGGCTGATGTCCTTAGGCAGTGTTTTGATTATTCCCTTGTTTTAAACATATATCTTCAAAAAAAGTATCAATGAAGTTGTTCATGTGACTGTTGAACAATTTTGTGAGAAGTCTTGAGTCATATGGTAACTTAAAGTGAATTAAAGCTTTAAAATGCCGTTATTTTTAACCTTTAATCTTTTTTTTACTAATTGTTATCACGTGACACACCGGAGCCAATGATATGTGGCACTGGTTTATATATATATATATATATATATATATTTGTGTATGTGTGTAAAATGGAGAAAAAAATGTTCCCCAAAAAAATTTGCACAGATTTAAAACCTAAACATCAATTTTAAGTAGCTTACAATAGAAAAAGAAACATCTTCAAAAGATGTGTTTATTGTGTAATTCATATAGCAGAGCAAAATGTTGAAATATATTCAAACTATGTCTAATACAGACCTTATTGTACTCACGTGTTGAAAAATTCCCTTATTATGAAATGCCAACAAATTCAATTTTGGGTTTTGGCATCACAACTGCATCACTATATGACAGATAATTATATTTTCAGTCAATTATGACTTTAATGTGTGGCACAGTGCTGTCATTTGGTATAAAATGTATTTTCAAGTGAAGTAAATAGCTGAATTTCAGTTTTGTTTAACCTATTGCCAAGTTGACTGTGTGTGTTTGATTGTCGTGATTTACCAAAGCTTGACACAGTCATCTAGATGAGGGGGGAAATGGCCAAAGATGTCTGTCAGACATTAGACCTACAATAATAACAAATGATGATCTGTGTTTTTATCCCAAGTACATTGGTTTATGTACTGTAATTTTTCCTTACATTCAATTTGTAGAGACCGAATAATTGATTGTGTTTTCAGCAGTTAGGCATTAAATCAGTAGTTATGCAATAATCATTGTGTTATTGCTGCAAGGTGCTACATAAAAAATAAATGAAGTAGACTCCTCGTATATGACTTAAACCTTTCACCTTTAAAGTACTTTAAAAAGTGTAGGGCTGTTAGTGTTATCTTTTCACAAGCCTCAAAGCAGAACTCAGGCCCTAGACCTGACCTTAAGACACAAAACACCATCACTAAGTAATAAAACTGCTAATAAACATCAACTGATGGTATGTGGAGCAAAGGGAGTAACAATCATGCCAATTTTTGAGACGTTGTTTTGTTTACTTCATTTGCAGAACAATAAGGTGATGACCTTCAACAGTCCCCTCTCCAGTCCCCATTTACAGTCTGTCCCCTCCATGGGTGCCAATTCCTCCTTTACCCCCACCGGGACCCTGCTGGACAGGAAGGTGGTGGGTGCCCCTTCAGTGGGACTCTATCAGCGCCGCCACTCTGTGTCCGTTACCAGTTCCAAATCAACACAGAACCAATTTATAAACAATCTCAAGATGGACAACTCGGCCTCCATAAACGGCAGCAGCAACAACAAGGAGAACCGCTTCCGTGACCGGTCCTTCTCCGAAAACGGGGAACGTCTGAGGCCAAGCAGCATTACATGCATTAGTGCCAATGGAAATGGCCAGGTCAACTCAAGCCGCTATAAGACCGAACTCTGCAGACCCTTCGAAGAGAACGGCACCTGTAAATACGGCGACAAGTGCCAGTTTGCTCATGGGATGCACGAGCTTCGTAGTCTAAATCGCCACCCTAAGTATAAGACCGAGCTCTGCCGCACCTTCCACAGCATTGGTTACTGCCCGTATGGGCCACGATGCCACTTCATCCACAATGCCGAGGAGCGCCGCGGACCCCCTCCTCTCTCATCGTTCAATAAGATGGAGCGCCCCCGTCTTCATCACAGCTTCAGTTTTGCCGGTTTCCCAAGCTCAGGTGGTTCCCAGGACAGCCCAACCTCTGTCACACCTCCGCCCCTGTTTTCCGCAGAAGACCTCAACGAGTGGTCCAGCAACCCGTTTGCTTTCTCAAGTCAAGAGCTCGCCAATTTGTTTGTACCCAGTTTAGGTGGTACCACCATTCCCGATCTGCCTGGTCCTCACTCACCCACCTCCTTCTTCAGACCCATGTCCGAGTCTCCACCAAGCCCTCCAGACTCCCTTTCCGACCAGGAAGGCTACCAGAGCAGCTTGGGCAGCCAGAGCGGATCTGAGTCACCACTGCTGGATGCAACGCGTCGCCTTCCCATCTTCAGCAGACTCTCCATCTCTGACGATTAAAATCTTTCCCGAGAGGTTTTAGGCCTGAGAGAGAAGGCATGGAGAGCTGGCGAGAATGAGAGAGTAATTTTCCTCCTAGCAATCCCTTCCTGTCCTTGCTTTGTTTACAGCAGAGAAGTGGACTAAAGTACAGTGTTCTTGTAGCCACTGAGTCAAATCAGAACTTACTACCCCCCTGTAGCATCAAACTTAAGTGTCTACCCGTGCCTCCCTAGACGTCGTTAACATGCCTGACGTAATGCAAAAACCAGAACTGTTCCCTTCAAGGCCTACTGGAACATGCTAAATCCATACTTAGGTTGTGGTGTTCAAACTAAAGTGCGGTTTCCTGAATCATCCAAGGACCTTCTTGTTCAAAGAATCTACTGAATTTTATAACATCAGACCTAAAGGTGCCACTTTTCTTGCAGGAGATCCTTGCTGGTAGATCATCGGGACTTAAAGTGCCTATCAAACTAATTATTTTCCTACTTTTCCAATCAAAGTGATTATTGTCCGGGGTAGAAAAGGTTTAAAGAAAAGAATCAAACCCATCTGAGAGTTGTATGAATCATTCTGAAAGTATGCCTAGTGGTGCTAAATGTGCTGTCACCGTGGTAATTATCCCTAGAACATGTGATCCCTCACTCTTAAAAAAAAAGTGTCCGCTGGTTGTTGGATTATGTAAGAGAGAAGAGGTCCTTCCTTTAATCTTTCTGTTGGAGTTACCACTAAAGATATGACTTCAGTGGCCACTAATTTTTTGGTTGAAATGTTTCAATATCATTATTTCAATATCGTATTTCCCCTATTATTGTTATAATAACGTTATTATTGCATCATTACAACTCTTGTTGGTATTTTCTGTTTGGAAAATGAGAACTTTCGAACCGAAAGTTTTGCTTGTCAATGCTTATTTAACTTATCAAAAATGTATTTATTGCTGATTGTAAGCATTTTTTTATTTTGTTTGTATTTATCTGGATAATGAAACAATAGAATATATTTTCCTTTATGTTAAATTATGATCTTCCGTATTAATCGTAAGATTGTGAAGACCTTTTTTTGCGTTAAGTTTCAACAGTTAATATATTATACTGCAATGACATTTTGTAACTACGTTTTGATTTATTTTTAAAGTGAAACTTAATTTAAAATGAGAATGCAAAGAGGATTTTTTTGCATTTTATTTATTATTTTCCTCCCTGATGTTGGACTGCAGTTTCAGGATGTTTATGCCTCTATAATCCTTTATTATTTGGCTCCGACCGTCTAGAATGTAAACAGACTTGTCTTGACAATAACAGTCCTGTGCCTGTGATTTTTATAAATCTCATGTTTAGACTGGGATCCTCTCATCAAGACTCAATTCAGTATGAACAAATCGTAGACAGTAAATGCATTATAGTGCCAATCTCACGACCCCCGCGGTGGTCCAAACCTCTGATCGCAACATTCTGATCCGACATGTCTAAAACAGACGGTTTATAAGGGAATTGTTAAATATGCATTTGTGTATTTATTTCGCCCGTTTTAAACCATGATGTGTTCACCAGTAAGCATGTGTTTTTTTGATTTGTTATGACTCAAAATTCGTATTTATTTACAGATTTTGGACCACTTCTACTTTCCAAGTGCCTAACAGTACATTCCGAGAGTCTTGTACCTTTTAGGATTGTAATCCAGAGTCGTTATTTAGATTTTAGCAGGAATTCAAGGTTAACAGGATTGACATTGACAGAACTACAGTTGAATGTGTCCTATGTTTGCAGCTATTGCTGTTCACAACAATATGTTTTCTTTTGTAACGACAGATTGCAGTTTAAACCAATAAAAATATCTATTTATAAGCTAACCGGCCTCGTCTTTGATTTCATCATACAAAGAGGGGAGTTAGATTTATGCGCAAAAGTGGAACATTCCATAAAACATTGGCAAATAAAGCACTGTTTTCATCCAATGAGTCAAAATCGTCACTTCTTGATAAACTGGCATCAAACATCCAAAAGCAAAATTGCTGTGCAAGTAAAAGCCACATTGGGCCTTATATTTATATTTAGTTAAAGTCAGAATTATTAGCCCCCCTTTAGATATATTTTTTTTCTTTTTAAATATTTCTCAAAATGATTTTGAACAGAGCAAGGAAATTTACACAGTATGTCTGATAATATTTTTTTTCTTCTGGAGAAAGTCATTTGTTTTATTTTAGCTAGCAGTTTATAATTTTTTTAAGAACCATTTTAAGTTCTAAATTATTTAAGCTATATTTTATTTCGATAGTCATATTTAGATACAGAACAAACCATCATTACACAATTTACCATTATACTTGCCTTATTATCCTGCCTAGTTAACTTAATTAACATAGTTAAGCCTTTACTGTCACTTTAAGCTGTATGGAAGTGTCTTGAATAATATCTATTGTCAAGGCAAAGAATATATCAGTTATTAAAAAATAAGTTATTGTAACTACTATTATGTTTAGAAATGTGTTGAAAAAATCTCTATTAAACAGAATTGGGGGAAAAACAGGAGGACTAATAATTAAGGGGGTTGAATAATTCTGAGTTTAACTGTGACCATATATATTACAATACCTTATTATAATGTATAATAAATTACTTGAGCAGTAAAAGATGAAAAAATTAACACACAATGACTTTTAGAGACACTCAAGATTCGTTAATGATTCAGAACCACTTTGATGACAGATTTTAAACATTTACAATAAGGTTCATTAGTTAATGCATTTACTAACATGAACTAATCATGAACAACACTTGTACAGCAATTATTAATCACAATTAAACATTTACTAATGTATTATTAACATCCAAGTCCATGCTTGTTACTATTAGTTAATGCACCATGAGTTAACATGAACTTACAATCAACTACTTTTCATTAACTAACATGAACAAATACAGTAGTAAATGTAGTATTCATTGTTTGTTCTTGTGAGTAAATTAACATTAACTAATGAACCTTATTGTAAAGTGTGACCGGATTTTAGAATGACTTAAAAAGTCTTGAATGTGCATATGGCAATTCATCACATCAATTTTTTGTTATTGCATAATTAGTAACGTTTTTGATGCGCATTCTGGAATTTATTTGAGAAATGTGTTTTTATTCTTGCTCATTTTTCCTCATCGGATTAATTTTATTCTACTCAGTTGTGTACATACTTTTTTTAATCCACATTTTCTAAAGTGCATTTTCCGTGCATCTTGGCATTTTTATTAAGCATTTTTTTATGTGATATTCCAGCCTGATCTCACGAGGAAACGTAAGTATTGTACGTTTTGACAGTTTAGTGGCTAATTCGTACGTATTTGTACAAGTTTAATCGTACGAAAATGTAAAATTTTAAAAAGGAGGCATGGCACTTAATCCCACCCCTAACCCAAACCGTCATTGGGTGATGAGCAAATCATACTAAGTTGTACGAATTAGATCGTACGAATTTACATGAATTAGCCACTTTTTCAAATTTACAAAATTTACACTCACAAATTTACGAACTGCCGTGAGATTGAGCCGATGTTCCAAAATATACAAATAAGAGGATGGAAACACAGCTACTGATAAGCTTCTTAAATATGATGAGAACACATCAACAGCTTTATGTTTGTGTGTGTGTGTGTGTGTGTGTGTGTGTGTGTGTGAATTTGGCATAGCAAGGGTGCAGGCCCTGATGCTAAGCTCTAATGCAAACAGCTGGGCTTGTTATTACATGCCATATTTTGGACATTCCCCCTGGATAAATTCTGATTCCTACAAGGCACAAACTCGCATTCCTCACTGATCCCGGTACACTATGAGACGGGGGTCTGATAATGAACTAGCTGAAAACTGTTTTCCTGAAAAAATGCTCAAACACAGGAAATCGAAATTCTGCCCTGGCCTGATATTAATGATTTGAAATGGCCTCTTGAATCTCTTGTGCTGTTTTCAAAAGCGCTGGCAATGACTGGGCTGCCAGACAAAAAGTCCAGGCCCCTTGAGAACATACAGTTTGTTACTGCAGCAACAGTAAGGACTAGCGCTCTACATGTTTGCTCCCTGCGTCACTGAACAAGCATCCGTGGACTGTCAGTCCTCACTGGATTTTAGTTTAATTTCCTTCCAGAGAGAAAGTTCCTGAGGAAAGCTGTGATCATAAATACAATCATAGCAGAAGATAGGAGCCAGATGGCCATCCGAATAGTACAAAGTTCAGCCTTTTCAATGCTTTAGCCTTCAGTCTTTAAAGAAATAGTTACCTCACATTGAAAAATATTTATTAACCATGCTCTACTTTTATTTATTTTCATTATTAAAAATGTAATAACGCACTACTGTAATAACACAATACCCTTTAATTATTAGTATATATGTATATACTATTTTTTGACATTTCTTTTTTTAATGACCAGTTTAACACTGTTAAATATTTTTCTATTTCATATTTCTTAGATTACATGAATGATCAAAATATATATTTGTCTAGTTTTTGTCTGAATGGATTGACTATAACTCCTCTTCAACATAATGCTTTTCTGTTCTGTTTATTTCTAAATATATTATTATAAAAATATATTTCTAAAAATGTCTACCCCCTTCTGTAAAATAGTTTTTGTAAAAATGTATATATATATATATATATATATATATATACATATATATATATATATATATATATATATATATATATACATATATATATATATATATATACATATATATATATGTGTGTGTGTGTAATTTTCATCCAGTTATGTATATATATATATGTGGATAAATATATAATATATGGCATAACCCTTTTTAACATGGTAGGAAATGGGTAACATTTTAAAACAAGATTAATTAGATAGCAGTTATTTAATTTACTCTTTTATTTTTTAATCATCATTATATTATTGGGGTGTTGCAGTGGCGCAGTAGGTAGTGCTGTCGCCTCACAGCAAGAAGATCGCTGGTTCGAGCCTCAGCTGGGTCAGTTGCCGTTTCTGAGTTTGCATGTTCTCCCTGCTTTCGTGTGGGTTTCCTCCGGGTGCTCCGAGTTACCTCACAGTCCAAAGACATGCGGTACAGGTGAATTGGGAAGGCTAAATTGTCCATAGTGTATAAGTGTGTATGGATGTTTCCCAGAGATGGGTTGCAGCTGGAAGGGCATCTGCGTTAAATATGTGCTGAGTTGGCGGTTTATTCTGCTGTGGCGATCCCTGATTAATAAAGAGACTAAGCCGAAAAGAAGATAAATGAATGCATTGTATTAATGAACAAACAGCTCGGTTAATTCCAATAAACAATTAATAAAATTAATTTGTTAAAAGTTAAATTAAATGTTAACCAAGACTGCCTTAGAAGCACTTACAGGGTAACTATTGCTAACAAAAGAGCACTGACTGTAGAGTGTTACTAAATCAGTGTATTAAAATGATTTCTAAAGGATCATGTGACACTAAAGACTAGAGTGATCACTAATAAACGTTCAGTTTGGCCTCCACATGAATCATTTTTATCTTAAAAGTGTATTCATCTTTCACACACACAGAGAAATTGCATTTGTGGTATTACTAATGTCCATTCTGCTTACTAAAGACAAGCCAGAAACACTGTTATTCTTTGTTTCTTCTTATTTTTTTTAACTGGATGAAATTTTGGCTTTGCTTCCTAAATACACTCACTAGCCACTTTATTAGGTACACCTTACTAGTAATGGGTTGGACCCCTATGCTTTCATGTTGTTGACGCCAAATTTTGACCCTACCATCAAAATGTCGCAGCAGAAATCAAGCCTCATCAGACCAGGCAACATTTTTCCAATCTTCTATTGTCCAATTTTGGTGAGTCTGTGTGAATTGTTGCCTCAGTTTGTAACAAGTGGTTGTAACTAGTGGTTATTTGAGTTACTGTTGCCTTTCTGTCAGCTTGAACCAGTCTGGCCATTCTCCTCTGACCTCTGGCATTTGAAAAAAAAAAGGCATTTGTGCCCACAGAACTGCCGCTCACTGGATATTTTCTTTTTTTCGGACCATTCTCTGTAAACCATAAAGATGGTTGTGCGTGAATATCCCATTAGATCAGCAGTTTCTGAAAGAAATAGACCAGGCCATCTGGCACCAACAACCATGCCACATTTAAAGTCACTTAAATTACCTTTCTTCCCCATTCTGATGCTCGGTTTGAACTGCAGCAGATCATCTTGATCATGTCTCCATGCCTAAATGCATTGAGCTGCTGCATGTGATTGGCTGATTAGAAATTTGCATTAACAAGCAGTTGGATGAGTGTACCTAATAAACTGGCCAGTGAGTGTATATAATGTCAGATTCCAACAAAAGGCATGTTATTATTTTAGATTCAGAACATCTGAAAGATTTACTCAACAGCATGTTCCTTTTTCCCTTTAAAAAGTAGATGCCAAAGCATTGCAGCAATCTAGAATTTGAAATACTGTACTTGTAGAGGTTATTCAGTCAAGAACAGACAGTGTCTATTCACACGGGGACTGTGGGTCACTGGGCCTTTAAGAACAGACGAGAGGAATAAGGCCAAAGTCGCAAAGTTGAGCAACACCCGCACCATAGACTTTGTAATTCCTCTATCAGCTCTTTTTTTTTCTTCCTCTGAGTGTTTCAGGGGCCAATGAGTAAACAAAGAAGAGTTCATAATGTCAGAAGACTGAAATGATTCTCACTAATGCGGGCACAGAAGCGGCATTTCGGCGAGTTTTGAGCTCGTGGAACAAACTGTTGTTGGTTTAACCTCAAGACTGTGCAATAACTAAATGAGCCTTGCAAAGCTGAACAAAACAAAAGGCTCTGAACAGAACTGTTTCAGGTCACAAGTATCCAGACTTATCAGTTCAAAAGCATACACCTCCACAAAAGAAAGAAAGAAAAAAAGGAATCAAGGCTAATTTAAATCTACTGATAATCGTCAAAGCGTTCGGCAGCGCTATCTTTTCTCACTAAGAATAATAAAGCCCTGGGCCATGTATGTGTGTGTCCTCTACTCTTTTTGTGTGGTAGGTTACTATTGAAACGTTGGCTGTGTTTCTACCCAGCATATATGTTTAACGTCGCTGCACATTATTATATCTTTATTATTGTGATGATCAGACCGCTTCTTTATGCCAGGGATAAAGTATGTCCAGGAGGTTGTTATCACAGAATAAAGCCAGACAGGCTTATCAGCAGCCTAACACAAAGCGGAGATCAGTTGTATAACACTCACTTTCCTTCAGTGGAATGAACCACCAGTTACTCCGGCATATGTTTTATGATCCCCTTACAAACAACCCAGCACTGAGAGTACATTTACTTGTGAACCCCCAGTGCTGGGAACAAACCACACACATCTCATTCACACACACTCATACAGTACAGCCAATTTCATTCATTCCTTCATTTTCTTGTCGGCTTAGTCCCTTTATTAATCTGGGGTCCCCACAGCGGAATGAACCGCCAACTTATCCAGCATTTTGTTTTTACGCAGCGGATGGCCTTTCAGCCGCAATCCATCTCTGGGAAACATCTACACACACTCACACTGGACAATTTAGCTGGTTTCATGGTTGAAAACAATTTAATAGATAACAAACAAAAAAGTTAAATAGTAAAAACTATAGACACAATATATTTACAAGTGTGAAGAGAATAATGGATATGAGAAAGATTTTTTTATCGAACATATACGTTTTTATTAATCATAGCTTTTATGAAAAAGAGCAAACTACTGCAATTATTGCATGACTGTAATGCAGCTATTATGTAAAATGTAACATTTATAATGAACTGCATTGTGTATGCCATGTGTATCTCATGGTAGGTCAAAACATGCAGTAATTATAATCACATTTCTGCAAAAGTATTGATGACTTTGGACTACTTTGCTGATATTAGTACTGCAACTGTCATTATACGCAAAGACGTTTACAACATATAGAATACAGTTTACACATATTATAAATATTATACAGTTGAAGATAGTTAAAGTCAGAATTAGTAGCCCCCTTTTTAATTTTTTTTTTCTTTTTTAAATATTTTCCAAATTATGTTTAACAGAGCAAGAAAATTTTCACAGCATGTCTGATAATATTTTTTCTTCTGGAGAAAGTCTTATTTGTTTTATTTCAGCTAGAATAAAAGCAGTTTTAAAGTTTTTTAAAAGCCATTTTAAGGTCAGAATTAATAACCCCTTTAAGCTATATATTTTTTCAATAGTCTACAGAACAAACCATCATTATATAATAACCTGCCTAATTACCCTAACCTGCCTAGTTAACCTAATGAACCTAGTTAAGCTTTTAAATGTCACTTTAAGCTGTATAGAAGTGTTTTGAAAAATGTCTGGTAAAATATTATTTACTGTCATCATGGCAAAGATAAAATAAATCAGTTATTAGAAATGAGTTATTAAAACTATTATGTTTAGAAACATAAATTAAACAGAAATTGGGAACAAAAATATTAGGGCTGTCAAATGATTAAAAAATTCATGTGATTAATTACACTTTTTTTTTATAATTAGTCATGATTAATCACAAAATGCCTTATTTATTACTGAAGTAAAAACACAGGCATGTAAGTGCCATTTGAATTTCAAAACAATCCATGCCAACAACAAACAAAAATGTTTTCCATGTTGGATTTTAAGAAGACTACAAACACACACAAACAAACACACACACATGCACACACAGAGAGAGAGAGAGAGAGAGACAACGAGCGCAGTGCCGGTGAGAGAGAGGGATCCCTTCAGATTCATCAACACGCACAATCGCGTTCATCAAATTTGCTTAAAGTAAGCATTCTAAAGTATGGCTGTATTTAACACGCTAATATTCTGACAGAGGAACGTGAAGCAGACACTTTACAAAAGGGGGGGAAATATGTCAAACTTGATGAAACATTTGAGGTACGCAGCTTAAGGGCAGAGAAATGTTTTTGACAGCTTGCAAATTCATCTGGCACTTTGATTCACATGGGCACTAATACTTAGATTTGATGATTAAGATAATACTGATCAAGAGTCTACCATGTAAACAGCGATTTTTGATTATCTTAAATGAACACGTGAGTCCCAAAATCCCGAAACACACTTCGGCCACAACAGGAAATAAAAAAAAACTGCAACTGCGTTATTTGCGTTATTTTTTTTTAACGCATTAAATATTTCAAATTAATTATGTACGTTAACGCGCTAGTTTTGACAGCCCTAATATATATATATATATATATATATATATATATATATATATATATATATACATACATATATATATATACATACACACACATATACACACACACACACATATATATATATATGCCTAATATCTGATGGCCAGAAAGTGATTCTTTTTATTATAAACTGTTAAAGCATTGGTGTCAGTAATGCAGCAAGTCCAGAGACTGTTGTGTACACCATGATTTAATATATAATTAAGTCACTTTAATGTGTGATTTGACTAGAAAGTGGTCATAAATGAGCATTTTCTCATTTCAAATGAGTAGCAGCTTGGACCCAGAAACCGTATTTCATACATCACAACTTAACAAGCAGATTAATAGCCAATAAACTAGTAGTTGGATTTAGGTATTGGGTAGGATTAAGGATGCAAAATAAGATAATGCAGAATATGTACTTTACACTGCCTGACAAAAGTCTTGTGGTTGATCTAAGTGGTAAGAGCAACAATAAAATAACTTGACTTCTACTTGGATAGGCGACATATATAATATATATCAATAATATATAAGTACAAATAAACTAGCTAGTAGTGAGAATTGGTATTTAAACTAAAGTCTTACCAAACTATGTTAAGTGATTATAACTTGCTAATATTTTTATATTTATGTTCACTTTTTTGCATTGTTCAAGTATTAATTTGACAGTGGTAGCATGAAAAACCCAAATGATTCTCAACTGTTCTTATGACCGGATACACAAAAAACATATCTGATGATGTAAAGGATCAAGCTGACCCTGTACTTTACAACTGTGTCCCAATCTCGTGATCCTCTGCTCTTATTTTTACATCTCCCTCTGTGGTGTGCAGGAAATCAAGGAGTTTATTTGGAAGGAAGGAGGCTTTTCCTCCTCTCGGCACAGACACAGGCAGCGATATCGCCACAGGTCGAGCATTAAAACGATCTGTCAAAACACGTCAACTCACAGCCTATCAGCCTGCGTATGTGGGGGAAGGGAGGAGAGATAGACCGAAAGAGGATGAAAGAGAAAGATAGACAGAGAAAACACCTACTCAGCACTGCAGGTTGAGTAAAGTCACAACCGACTTTATCTGCAGAAGGAGAGGTACAGACGTCACCATCGTTCGCACCGTCAGCAAAACCTGCTAATAAAATGAAAACAGTGAGAGTTTTGCGATTTATTAGTGTTAAAAGAGTTTCAAAAGCAGAACTTGCTCCGTAAATATAAAGTTGACAGACAATAAGTGTCAATGTGCACATACACAACAAAAGCAAAACAAGCAGAAAAAGAAGGAACCACCCAAAATAACACCATTGTTCATTTAATCAGACTAACTTCCCTTTAAGGCAGAGGAACCATGGGAACAGGAGTCATGGGAATTGAAGCTATGGCAACGGCCAGTCAGGGTCAAGAAGCGTTTGTGCAGGACTGCTGTCTTATCATACAACCAGAGAGAGAGAGAGAGAGAGAGAGAGAAAATAGGTCTGTCAATCAATAGCTGACTGATGGTGCAGTTTTCTAACTAGATGAAAACTAGAGGTAATGTTCGACCGAGCAGAAGCTTGACCGTCAACCTGTAGAGTCCTTCTTATGTCTTTCGCTGTTTGTCACCATAAAGGACAAGCTGCTGATCCACCACATGTTCTAGCAATGTTTAACCATGGCTTGTCCTTGAAAGAAACACAACGGTAGCACTTCGTTTTCCTGCGCTGAATATTACATTCGAGAATGTTCTGTCATCAGATGACCATCGAAATAACCTTGATGGTCGAATGGATCACTGCACTTGGTTATCTTGAGATAATGGACGGCATTGAGCGTTTAGCTGACATCCAAAACATCAGTCCTGACATTTGTTTACCGGCCTTAAATGTAAAGCAATAACAGCCAGAGAGGATTTCAGCATGTAGAAGGAGCAGCCTGAGGAAGGTTGAAGATGAACCCTGTCCTCACTCTGATTGGCTGAAGTCCTGGATCTGTTCCTCGGTTTGAAAAGCTTTCTGGGTTCATGTTCTCTGGAAAACATGAAAACATGAAACTGATTAATCTGCGAAACAATAAGTTTATTATATTATATTATATTATATTATATTATATTATATTATATTATATTATATTATATTTATTATATTATATTATATTATATTATATTATATTATATTATTCATTCATTTTCTTGTCGGCTTAGTCCCTTTATTAATTTTGGGTCGCCACAGTGGAATGAGCCGCCAACTTATCCAGCATATGTTTTACGCAGCGGATGCCCTTCCAGCTGCAACCCATCTTTGGGAAACATCCATACACACTCATACACTACGGACAATTTAGCCTACCCAAATCACTTGTACTGCATGTCTTTGGACTGTGGGCGAAACTGGAGCACCCGGAGAAAACCCATGCGAAGGCTGGGAGAACATGCAAACTCCACACAGAAACGGCAACTGACCCAGCTGGGGCTCAAACCAGCAACTTTCCTGCTGTGAGGCGACAACACTACACACTACCTACTGCGCCACATAATATTATATTACATTATATTATATTATTTTTTATTATAATTTATTATATTATATTATAATTTATTTTAATATAATATGTTATCATTTATTATAATATAACTTAAAAAAAAAATATATATACACACACACACACACACACACACACACACACACACACACACACACACACACACACACACACACACACACACACACACACACATACATACATACATACATACCTGTACATACATAAAGTTGAAGTCAAAATTATTAGCCCCCTTGAATTATTAGCCCCCTATAATTTATTATATTATAATTTATTTATTCATTTAATTTATTACATATAAATTATATTATAATTTATTATATTATATTATAATTTTTTTTTTTATTTTAGACCCCCTTAAATTTTAGCCCTCCTATAATTTATTATATTATAATTTATTATATTATATTATATTATATTATATTATATTATATTATATTATATTATATTATATTATATTATATTATATTATATTATTTTATATTATATTATATTATATTATATTATATTATATTATATTTAACCTATTTACTTTTACAACAAAAAAAGTTTTATTTTTAAAGGGAGTTTGAATAAATCTAAAACAATTTAGCGGTCTGCTCATTAAGACACTGTTATAAAGGAAACATCACATTTCTTATATACTAGGGATGTCCAAACTTGGTCCTGGAGGGCTGGTGTCCTACATATTTTAGTTCCAACCTCAATTAAACACACCTGAACCAGCTAATCAAGCTCTTATTAGATATACTAGAAACTTCCAGTGAGGTGTGTTGAAGCAAGTTGGAGCTAAACTATGCAGGACACCGGCCCTCCAGGAAAGAGTTTGGACATCCCTGCTATATACTATAAAACTGCAGGTTAACTACGGTGCTCAGCATAATTACTCATTTTGAAAATGAATATTTTTATCCATTTCTCAGTGAATATACAGTAGGCAATGTATTTTGGTGCATTTAAACAAAACAGATTTATTATACAGATATGATTGATAAAATATTACTTTAGTCACCAAACATATTAGAAATTGAAAGATAATACAATTAAATTCAGGCAAAATATTGCAAAAAAAACTAACAAATAAAAATTACAATCTACAAAATTTTAACTACATTTTTTATTTATTTATTTATTTTATTTTTATTTTTTTTTTTGCTTCTCTTGATTTTTCATCTGTTATATATTTGTATTTAACATTTTTCTATAATATAGAAATGTGGGTGTACTTTTTATTTTAAGTTATTTTGTTAGATAAGCTCCAGATTTGGCTTCAGTGCTGACTAATCTAATGTATATGCACAAATATAATATTGTAAAGCTTACTATAAAAAATATGAATTAAAAAAATAGATTTATGAGGGGTGTACATATACATGCTCAGCACTGTATGTTTATATACAATAACTTTAACTGTTAAAATCTATTAGTTACTATTTAGTTAAAGTAATTACTATCTAATAAAGTTATGGTAACAAACAACCTTAACTTTTCCGAATTTGATTGTAATGCAATAATGTGTTAAGATGCTTTGAAACAATAATTATTGTCAAAGGCACTAGAAATAAACTTTAAACTGAATTGAAACAAACAAACACAACAGTAAGTGGAAGTGAAAACCATCATTAGTGGCTGAAAACCTTTGTTAGCTTAATAAAAGCCAGTGTGATTTACTTTATATGTGTTATATGTGTTTTGACAATGTTTTGACACACAAATATTAGTAATTCAGTGCACATTAATGTATAAATGAGTACTGGACAAGCAAAACAACAATGGCAACATTGGCTTTATTACAGTTGTCTGTATCTAAACATTAATAATAAAAACAATGTTTATATATATATATATATACATATATATATATATATATATATATATATATATATATATATATATATATATATATATATATATATATATATATATATATATATATATATATATATATATATATATATATACATACATACATACATACATACATACATACATACATACATACATACATACATACATACATACATACATACATACAGCTAAAGTGAGAATTATAGCCCCCCTGTTTTATTTTTCCCCCAATTTCTGTTTTAATAACTTTAGTTTTAATAACTCATTTCTAATTACTGACTGATTGTATTTTTGCTACGATGACAGTAAATAACATTTTACTAGATCTTTTTCAAGACACTTCTATACAGTTTAAGATGACATCTAAAGGCTTAACTAGGTTAATTAGGTTAACTAGGCAGGTTAGGGTAATTAGGCAAGTCATTGTAGAAGAATGGTTTGTTCTGTAGACTATTTAAAAAAAAATGCTTAAAGGGGCTAATAATTTTGACCTTAAAATGGCTTTTAAAAAAATTAAAAACTGCTTTTATTCTAGCCGGAACAAACAAACAAACAAACAAATAAATAAATAAATAAATAAATAATACTATTTGCAGAAGAAAAAAATATTATCAGACATACTGTGAAAATCTCCTTGCTCTGTTAAACATTAGTTGAGAAATATTTTAAAAAGAAAGAAAAAAAATTCAAAGGGGGATTAATAATTCTGACTTTAACTGTATATTATATCTTTTTAATTATTCATTATATTTAAAAAATTAAATAAATAAAATTATTTTCATCAAGGTGACATTTATTAAATGTAAATTGTTAAATAGTGATTTATTAAATATTTATTTATTACTTATTGTATATAGTTTCAAATGAAATTATTACTCAGTCAGGCATCAGTCATTATTGCTTTTATTACTATTACCATTCATAATAATAATAATAATAATAATAATAATAATAATAATAATAATAATAATAATAATGATAATAACAATGAAAATTAATTTTAGAGTGATTTCTGAAGGGTCATGTGACTGAAAATGAAGCTAAAAATTCATCATTAAATAAATGTAACCTTGATGAGCAAAAAAACTTATTTATAAACATTTTAAAATCGTACTAACCTCAAACTATATACAGTTGAAGTCAAAATTATTAGCCCCCCCTTTGATTTTTTTATATAAATTTTCCAAACGATGTTTACAGTGCAATGACATTTTCGCAGTATGTCTGATAATGTTTTTTTTCTTCTGGAGAAAGTGTCATTTGTTTTATTACGGCTAGAATAAAAGTAGTTTTTATTTTTTTTTATAACAATTTTAAGGACAAAATTATTAGCCCCTTTAAGCAACTTTTATTTTCATTGATAGTCTACAGAACAAACCATCATTATACAATAACTTGCCTAATTACCCTAACCAGCCTAGTTAACCTAATTAACGTAGTTAATCTCTCTGTTAAACAGAAATTGTGGAAAAATAAAAAATAAAAGGGGGCTAATGATTTAGCCAGGCTAATATTTCTGACTTCTACTGTGTGTGTGTGTGTGTGTGTGTGTGTATATATATATATATATTTATATTAGTGCTGTCAATCGATTAAAAAAAAATTAACTAATTAATCGCACCTTTTTAAAAAAAATTAATCGCGATTAATCACACTTAAAATACTGAAACTTGTAATTTTGGCTATTTAAATGTAAAATTAATGTAAACGCAAGACAAAAAATATTTATATTCAAAATATTATTGTTTAATAGAATTTTTGTTTAACTGTGTAACACAGATTTCTTCATGTAAACAACATACCCACAATAAACCATCAAGATCCTGGCTTGACAGCCATATTTATTACAGAAATTAAAACACAGGCATGTTAATGACATTTAAATTTCAAAACAATCAATGCCAATAAAGAAAACATTGATTTCCATGTTGGATTCTAAGTGGACTGCAAAAAAATGCCAAAATACAGGAATTGCAGATATGGAAAATGAAAAATTATAATAATAAACTATAGAATACAAACTGTTGCACTCATTGTAAAGTTTTATTGCTGTGTGTTGAGAACATTAATTATAGCGTAGAAACAATTTTGCTTACATTTACATCCTCCTTTACATTCATCCAGTAGCTAGGAGTATCCCGCAAGTGCACAAAGACTCCCAAATGCCCGCAAATGAATGATAATTTCTTGCAAACCGGTCGTTAAATACATTGCACACCCCTCTCGCCCCTACTCAGATACGTCGCTCACTCCACCCCTGATACCCCTCAACAGGCCTGACACAGACACACACACAGACAGACACACACAACGCGCTGCAGACGTTTTGGCCCCAACAGCCTTCCATACTGGAGCGACTCCCCTCAGATTCAACACGCATGATCACGTTCATCAAATTTGCTTAAACTAAGCTTCCTAAAGTATTACTGTATTTCACAAGGATTCTGACACAACAACGCGAAGCAGACGCTTTCGTTGCGTTTAATGAGGAAACACGCTAAACTTGGAGGGCGCATGCTGAAAGGCAGAGTAATGCCCTGTCTTTGACAGCTCATCAGACTTTCTGACATAAGACACCAATACTCCGATTTTAATATGATTAAGATAATACTCTTATTAA